TCAGGGAGGCGAGTGACTAGCCAGTGAATAGTGAGCCACATAGGGGGTGGGGCAAGGGCAAGCTGGTCCTCAGTGCAAGCAGCGCGAAAGCGAGCATCAAGGGAGCGCAGGTGGGTAGCGAGGTCAGAGACAGTCTCAAAGGAGGCGAGGTTAGGGTAGATAAAGGGTACGAGGAGGAGACTGAGCGAAGCAGAGGAGGGAGTGGAGTAGCGAGTAACAATAGCCTTATACAGATCCGCAGCAGACTCGACCTGAGCGAAGTGGACTGCCTCTGTCGGCGGGAGAAGGTCGGCCAGGGCGAGGGAGGCAGCGGCGTCACGAGACTCCCACACGTCACGAGCGAGGAGCTGGCGCTGGTAGTCGGCCTCCTGCTCAGAAGTAGGCGGTGGGGTAGTGGGCAGCGGCTGAGGCTGCGGAGGGGCGGTCTGAGTGCCGGACGCGTGTGCGAACATGTGCACACCATCCTGCCGCTGGCTCTTAAGGTGGCGCTGCGCCTGCGTAAGCCACGTACTAAAGTCAATAGGTCTCCCTTCAGGGTCAAAATGAAGTACTCGGGAGGTCGCCATAGGGGGCGAAACTGAGAGAGCGCGGCTGCCAGCCGCGGGATGGGGAGACAGTCACTAACGTGTGAGCAGGCGCGGAGGCATGCAGGCGGGTAGGTGGCGCAGAGCGCTGGCTGGCGGGCGGCGCGGCGCGCTGCCTGGCGGGCGGCGCGGCGCGCTGGCCTGCGGGCGGCGCGGCAGGTCGACGGGCAGGCGGCGCGGCGGGTCGACAGGCGGGCGGCGCGACGCGCGGGCCTACAGGCGGCGTGGCGGGTCGACGGGCGGGCCTACGGGCGGCGCGACGCGCGGGCCGACGGGCGGCGCGACGCGCGGGCCTACGGGCGGGCGGGTCGACGGGCGGGCCTACGGGCGGCTCGACGCGCGGGCCTACGGGCGGCACGGCGGGTCGACGGGCGGGCCTACGGGCGGCACGGCGCACGGGCCTACGGGCGGCGCGCGGGCCTACGGGAGGGCGGTGCGGTGCTCTAGCGGACGGGCCGCGCTGCAGGTCGACGGGCGGGCGGCGTGGTGTGCTAGCGGGCAGCGCGGTGCGCTGGCGTGGCACGATGGCTAAGGCGTTTTAGGGCAAACGTAGAGGAAGGAGGCGGCCTAAGTCTAGGAACGACGACGACTAGGTGAGGCCTAGGAACGGCGAACCTACTGCTGATACCATCTTAGAAACTAAACACAGCAGAATGAGTTGGATTCATTGGGTTGGGGTACAAATACCTAACCCTAACTGTTTATACCCCATATAGCATGACCCACTAGAGGCTATTACATTTGACATTTATCTACAGGAGCTTCTACAAGAAGCGAAAAACCCAAGGGGAAGGTTGACTTGAGCTACTGGCCGACGGGTGACATGACAGCTGACTTTCTCACGATGCGACTGTCACGTCAGCAGTACCAATATTGCTCCGAACTCACCGGGGTAGTCAAGCGGGTGAAGGAGCGAAGGAGGGTGTTACGAATAGTAAAATGAGAAAGGATACTGTGCACTCTTGACAGCAGCAAGCGAAGCACGCAGTACCGAGGTTGAAGACGGAAGGCGGAATGACGCGAAGAGTCGCGTACAGTTACAAGCATCTGGACCGTCAGGGCGGACAGCATCAGGCAGCAGCAGTGGCGGGGATTCTGCCAGAGCAGTTCGTAACCGTCTCGAATCGCACGGTTGGATTTTGCTGCAATAAGGGAATGTACACCTCAAAGTACCGTACATGGCTAACCTAGGTCGTTCCGTATTCCCCTGTGCTATTATTCATACGATTGTATTTGCACGTTTTAATCATCTCAGTCATTTTACCGTTTAGCCCCGGATATAGGCGCATATGCGCTTATAATAAAATCATTTTTTTGAGGGGGGGCGCTTGTAATTGAGTAACGGCCATAAGCGCCGGCGCTTATATAATGACAAATACGAAATTGTATTTTTAGAGCACCAAATTGTTCATTTTCTTCTTGCCATTTCAACCGAGTCGAAATGTTTTAGCGTCACAATGCAGAATCTCGCACAAGCGATATTCTGGGTTCACACACAGGCAAAGCCACGTCATTCCAGCACATCCTGACTGGACGCGCAGCCAGTCAGGTCTTCGCGAGTCAAACGAAGCGAAATTGAAATCTGACTCGCTGTAAAAATGGATTTCGTTACTGTTTTAGGCAAGAATTTAAATTCAAATCGCATATGCGCTTATAATAAGTAAAGGTTTTCTAGGGGGGGCGCTTATAATCGAATTCCGGCCATAGGCGCCATGCTCCAGATAGAAGCGCCGGCGCCTTAAATCGGACGGAGCCTATATCCGGGGCCATACGGTACATTCAATATGATCTGAGGTCAACGGCCCACCACTACCACACATTCTTTGCGAACCTTCCCGAGGCGATCCTAGGGGCGATCACCTTCTGGTCGCAGCACTAATTATACATCTTTGCCAATAAATTGGAGGTTTTTTGAGGAGGCTATATGAGGGCATGCTTTTATGTTTTACAGTGTGAACAATTCTCCTTCTGTAGACTGTCCCAACGCTAATCTGAGGCCTTGGTCATCCCCCCTAAATGAAGCATGATTTGATTGGAACGTTTGTGTGTTTTTATCGCCTATTTTTTCTAACAAGCTTGATTGCTGTAGAGACTCGCACTTCATTATCAAGATTTCAGATACGAGCACTTGCCAATCACATATGCGCCACCTAATCGAAAAGCAGTGATTTCAGATGCCGCCACCTGCCAACCGACATATCCGACGTTTCGCTAATTCCTCCTCGCACGTGTTTCACGTCACCAGTGACCTAAAACAGCTCAACAGCGGTGCGCCGTCCTGCTTGTCCTGAAACCGCATCGCCACGTTATGGGCACTGAAGCGTCGCGTGTCAGCACGGCTTCACTTTCTCCTACAACTCAATCTCAACATCCAACTAGAGTTCGTATTGCCACGGTCGAGCTTTGCGCTACGCGCTACTGACTCTAACATGATAGACACACACCGCACCGCATCTCTTGGTGGCGACTCCAACGGCCGGATTGCTGTCCCTCCCAGCCAAGCCGCGGTGGCTGGGGGGATAAGCAGTGTAGACATAAGATGGTATAAAAGTCCGCCTAGCAATCGAGAGCCTCATTCCCTCGAACCGAACCGAGAGCATCCCCTCTTGCATTCTCGAAGCTGCAGTTACAGCCCTTTCCGCCGTTGTTCTTCCAACTTCGGCTCCAGGCTGCTACCAGTCCGACCAGCAACCTTCTCAACTGGCCGGATTTTCTCAGGTCGCGCCGTGCGATTTGACCACCTCAGCTTCGTGAATGACCTTTACCCAAGTCTCATCAATCGACATGGACATTAAGGAGGAAGCTCGCGTGGTCGTCGAGAAAAGCGTCATCGCCGACCCGGCCCCTCTCGGGCTCGCCGCGTTCGCGCTGACGACGTACGTCCTCTCGTGCCACAACGCCGGCTGGGCTCCCGACGTTATCTGGGTGGGCCTCGCGTTCTTCTATGGCGGGCTCGCGCAGCTGCTGGCCGGCATGTGGGAGTTCAAGAAGAACAACACCTTCGGCGCCACCGCCTTTTCAACCTATGGTGCCTTCTGGATGGGCCTCGCCTTCTTCGTTCTCCTCAAGATTCTCGGTTACGTAAGTACCAATCAGAAACGTCCTTGTTCCGCGACAGTTTAGGATGCAATTTTGCACGTAGGTACCAAACAGGAAGTTTTTAATCCGGAAATTCACCATCGTGTGAACAGGGTTGATAGTAATCCCCGCTGCTCCTTCCTCTCTCGCATCTGTTACTGCAGACCACGATGCTTCAAGGCACGGACGTGTCGGAGGCTCTTGGGTGGTTCCTGTCGGGGTTCTTCATCTTCAACAGCTACATGACAGTGTGCGCGCTCATGACAAACCATGCCGTGCTGCTCGTGTTCGGCCTGCTCGAGGTCACCCTCATGCTGCTCTTCATCGGGAATTTCAACCACCAGCATGCTGGACAGGGCTGGGTCAAGGCTGGCGGATTCTTCGGCCTCTTCACAGCCATTGCTGGTGAGCGATTCTGTAGTGGCGTCGGCCGCAAATACCTTTTTCTGCCTCGCTGATTCCTCTGCCTAGTTGATTCCTCTGCCTCGTTGATTCCTCTGCCTCGTTGATTCCGGGAATTGCTGTGTGCCACGCAGTCTGTCTACTCTCTCTGACGCTTGTCCCCCTCTCTACACTTTTCACGCTCCGTGTACTTGTTACCAGCGTGGTATGCCTCTGGTGCAGCCTGCTTCAATGCGATGGCAGGCAAGACGGTTCTTTATGTTGGTAAGCCCATTCTCAAGTTTCAGAAGGTGTGACTAGGGAGTGGGATGGACTTTTAGCTGCCCAGTCGGGTTTGCTGCAGAGTGAGAAATTGTGCATACTGTAGCGTAGCGTGTTGCTTAATAGCTAGGAGTGGAACTACCGTAGTCAGTGACAGGTGTTTCCTCTGTTGCGTGACACATTGTGCTAGAATGCTCTTCTCCTCAATAAGGTTCTGGGTTGAATGTTTGTGACTTAGCTAGACACCTGCGCCTTGAGAGGGAGCTTCTTGTGACCAGAGATACGGTAGCTAAACGGGCTTTTCTAGGGCTCAGGAGTAGAATGGAACTGCATACCGTAATCTGTACTGTCTATGGATGGTCTGAGGCATATAGTTTTGCAACATTTACCGTAATCACCCGGATAAAAGACCCCCCGCAGTTAAAGACCCCCGGGTCTTTAATACGGGGTGGGGTCTTTTATTACGGTATGTTTTGAGTTATACCCCCCATTTTGGGTGAAATCTGTATAAGACCCCCCTTTTCCACTGAAACGGCTATTTCGCATGATTTTCATTAGTCTACTGATAATCCGGGTGCATTGCAGCACGTTAGCATAGCATCAAGGAACAGGTTAGACCCGCTTTCCCCCTGTAGCCATGTACCTACTCCACCCACTACCTCCACATCCCATCATCTAGCCATCTTCCTCCCCCGCCACCCACTCCTCCACCTCCTCCCCCTCATAGCGACCTGGGGCCCACCAGTCATCACCATCGTCGCTCCACTCATCCTCGTCTCCCACATGCCCCTCGGCATCAGACGGGCACATCCTTGTAGAAAAGCCCTCATCCTTGCTCGGCTGAGAAAAGCCCTTAGGATCTTTACAAGGCTAAACTCTGAGTAGAAGTATTTGTAGTTGCGGAAGCGTTTTAATGACCAGTGTTGAACCACCTTGCGCTAGTATGTGAGGGCATTATAGAAAAGTAATATAAGCTTTTATAAGATTACAAGGAATACGAAAGGGTGCAACTAATAACTGTTTTACTGTTGCTGTTGCGGTTCGATACAGTGACGACTCGGGCAACTGCTCAGTATCGAGTCAGTTGTTTGTCCTTGCTGTCGCGCTGTATTTGTCAATTCAAAGGTCGCTGACCTTTGACCTTCGCGTAACCTCCAGCAGTTACTTCTCTTGTCAACCTCCGATGGTTGACTCGCCGTTGCTTCGTTGTAGTTCGCTTCGTTTTCAGCTTGCTGTTGCGACACATCAGAAGCGTTTAAGTTACTTCTTTCCAACACTCCTCCACCTCCTCCTCCTCATAGCGACCTGGGGCCCACCAGTCATCACCATCATCGCTCCACTCATCCTCGTCTCCCACATGCCCCTCGGCATCATCCTCGTCGCTTGTGGAGGCATCAGCAGCAGCAGCCTCCACATCCGCTGCGTCGGCATCACCCACTAGCACTGCCTCCTCCTCTGCCTCCACGTACGAATCAGCGGGGGCGACAGCGGGGTCGGGGTAGAAGGGGTTGGGGATGAGCTCCTCCATCTCCTCCTACTGCACATCCTCGAGCACCTCCACCTCCGCCTTGTCCCGCAGATGAGCGAGGATCGGATGATCCTCGCTCCCGTCCTCGGGGTTGGAGATCCCGCAGGTGAGGAACGTCTGTCAGAATGCTATAATTGTCTAGTCTGCAGTAGGGTACTCTATAGTGAGTACAGCCCAAATTAGGGTTTGCTATATGTATCCTATCTGCTGCTAGTGCAACCACTCTTTCCTTACAGCCTGTGCCAGGCCCGCGCGCGGCCCGTACAGCCTGCGCCAGGCCCGCGCGCAGCCCGCACAGCCCGCGCCAGGCCCGCGCGCACCTGCCCTGCCGCGCGCGCGCCTGAACTGCCCCTGATGTCGCCCGCGCAGCTCCTACCCCGCCCCCCCCCCGCCCCCCCTTTTCCTCCATCCCCCTGCTGCTCGTGCAGCAGTGGGGGGGAGGTTATGGGGGTGGCGGGTATGAGTAATCTGCTGCTCCTCCTCCTCCTCCTCCTCTCTCTACCACTGCTGCAGCTGCCGCTGAGGGGGGGGGGGGGGGGGGGGGGGGTGTGGGGGAGCCGAGGAAGTGGCGCTAGGGATGCAGAAGGGGGTGTGAAAAGGGGGTGTGGGTCAATGGGGGGAGGTTGAAGGAGGTAGCCGTCATGACGTCAGCAACGCCAGTAGTCCGGGGCCCTTGCTCCGGTAGCCCAGCGAGCCTGCTGCGCCAGTCGCCCGTGGGTCCGTTGCTCCTGCCGCTCGTCTTAGCCGCGGAGCCAGTTACTCCTGTAGTCCGGGGCCCTTGCTCCGGTAGCCACCGTGCGCGCCGCTCCTGTTGCCCATGTGTCTACGGCTTCACCTGTCGCCTCCTATCTCCACTCCTCTCACAGTCCATCCTCCTCCTCACTTGCCTTCTGTGACTGCCTCTAGCTCTGCTTGTGCTTGTGAACTTCTTATGCGACTACTTGCTGTGCTGATCATACCCCACTTTGACTATGGGGGTGTGTCAGAATGCTATAATTGTCTAGTCTGCAGTGAGGTACTCTATAGTGAGTACAGCCCAAATTAGGGTTTGCTATATGTATCCTATCTGCTGCTAGTGCAACCACTCTTTCCTTTGGCAAACTCTCTCGACACTCTCTTGCCTAGCCTAAACCCTAGGCTCCTAGTCCTAAGTTAGGAACCTGTTTTAACAACGTCTTCCTCACCAATTCCTCAGGAACGTCGGCCCAGGACTCGTCGATCCACCTGAGCACGAGTTCGGGGGGGGGGGGGGGGGGCTTCTTCAGGTTGCCTGCGAGCGGCAACCACGAGCAAGGGGTGCGAGGTCAGTGGGGTGCAAACAGGGCGAGGTGCACACTGGCTCGGAGCGGGGACTGGGACTCACCAGCGGGCGTCTTGAAGGTGATCCCATCCTCCTCGAACCAGGTTGAGTAGCGGTGGCGGACCCCCGCTTTGAATGCGCGGTTTATCGACATGTCGAGGGGTTGCACCAGCGGGGTGCAACCACCAGGGATCACTGCACGAGTGAACTTGAAGAGGCACATTGTCTGGCCGACTCCTTCGGTGAGGTGCCCCCTGTAGGAGTCTAGCACCAGAAGCGCATCCTTGCGGCTGCCGCCCTCGTCCCTCAACGGTCGCAAGAACGGGACCAGCACTTGGGAGATTCAGTCCTGGACCAAGCTCTCGTCCATCCAGCCTCTCGCCTGAGCGCGAATCACGACACCTGCTCACTCAACAACGCCCGTATTAGACAGCTCATTGCATCACGGAAAGGGGTAAAGAAGCTCTGTACTGAAGACCACTCACCTCTAGGGACTTGAATCTTGAACAGGGTCTTTCGCCTGAACACAACGTACGGCGGGAGCTTCATCCCGCTAGCCGTCACCGCCAGAAGGACTCCACCTTCGCCTTGCAATCTGCATGTTACATCAAAGGTAAAGGTGTGAGTGACCGTGAATTCGTGCGACAACGTGCGACGAGAGAACAGCGTGCTCATCGTCAGCTAGTTTCTGCCCCATTTTAGTCTTCACACGCTTCGCCAAGGACCACTTGACGCGGAAGCGCCAAGTCCAGCGGTTTGATGCGCGCCAGTCCACCCTCGGGTGGCGCTGCGTCATGTACGTTGTAGACCACTTCTGGATCATACTCACCGAAACGGGCAGTCCCTTAGCGCGGTGCGCCAAGAACTTACGGTACACAGCCCTCTCCATGAAGGGCCACTTCGCCTTTCGACCCGCACCAACTAGGCGACGACGACACCCCGCGAAAACAAGCAGACGCTCCTTCAGCTTCCGCCACTCGCGGATCTGCTTCGGCTGAACGTTGGCGAGCCTTGCCAGGCCACGAATGCCGAGGTCTGGCTGCGTGTCTAACATCGCCAGCCAGTAAAGCTTCTCCCTGGCTGTGTACGCGTGCCGCGCCTTCTTCGTCATACGGTGGCGAGGAGAGGGAGGGGCAGCGTCCACCACTCTCTTCTTCTTGCCTTGCGGCCTACTAGACTGCGTAAACACGGGGACCTTCACTTTGGGGAGCAGAGATCAAGGGGCACGAGTGCTACCCGAGGTCTTGCTCGAGGATTGCGAGTTCGTTGGCATCACAGGCCTTGGCGACTGCCTAACACACGAGGATTCACGGACGGGTGTGACGCGAGGGCAACGCGAGTGCGACGCCCCTGAATCTGGAGACGTAACCATGATAGTGGGATGCTAAACAGGGAAGTGACGAGGTGTGCCACAAGTATAGACTCTTTATCTTGCACATATTAAGCAGCCAGACACAGCCTGCCGAGCAGTCGCGATCATCGTGTAGGTGGTGGGAAACATGGCGGCGTGTGAGAGAGCATCTACTGCCAGAGACGTGACTCTGGATGTGCAAAGGAGCAAACCGTGCTCTTTCTAACGACGTGCCACCACCCCACGCAGCGTGCATGGGGTGGTGTTGCCGAGGAGGCAACGCTCGGCGCGCCTGGCCGTGGCCACGTCAATCGCGGCAATATCAGACGTCGTGGCAACCAGCGACACTGGGCCAATTAGTAAGCCCCAATCAGAATCACCAGTGAAGTGGCCCCCAAGCCTCGAAGAGCACACTCTCGTGGGATGGGTCTATTTTACAAACGGGGCAAACATGTACAACATGCTGGTGTTTCATTCAAACCTTCAAAACTAAGTACTTATGTGTATACCCGGGTCTTATAAAATTAGTACACTATATATAGACCCCACTGGTTTTTTTCTTGAAATATTCATAAGACCCTAGGGTCTTTTATCCGGGCGATTACGGTAGCTCCCCACCCCAACACATCGGGAAGCAGCAACATACCGTACCGTCCTATCAAATGTTGTTGTTTGTTGTAGGCAACAGTGAGGTGCTCTTTAGTGAGTACAACAATTTTAGGGTTTCCTATTTGTACCCCTTGCTTTGCTAATCGCAATCATTCCATTGCACTTCGTTCTTAAGATGGTATCATGAGTAGGATAGATCCTCGCCTAGCCTAGCCCCGATCGCGCCCTAGCGCCCTCCGCGCCCTAGCGCCCTCCGTACCCTAGCGCCCTCCGCGCCCTAGCCCCTCCGCTCCCTAGCGCCCTCCGCGCCCTAGCGCCCTCCGTGCCGTCCGCACCCTCCGCGCCCTCAGTGCCTCCGCACCCTCCGCGCGTAGCCCGCACCCTCCCCTCACGTGCGCGCCCTCCTTAGCCCGTCACGCGCCCCTCGGCCTGCCCATCGCGTGCGCCTAGGCCAGCCCGTTGCGCGCGCCCTAGACCAGCCCGTCGCGTGCGCCTAGACCAGCCCGTCGCGCGCCCCAGGCCAGTCCGTCGCGCGCGCCCTAGGCCAGTCCGTCGCGCGCGCCCTAGGCCAGCTCGTCGCGCGCCCCAGGCCAGTCCGTCGCGCGCGCCCTAGGCCAGCCCGTTGCGTGCCCCTAGGCCAGCCCGACACGCGCGACTCCTCCCTCCGCGCCCTCCGCGCCATCCGCGCCCTCCACGCCAGTCGCGCCCTCTGCGCCCTCCGCGCCTTATCCGCGCCTCCGCCCGTGCACCCGCCCTCCCCTTCGCCCGCGCCCTGCCTTAGCCCGCGCCCAGCCTTAGCCCGCGCCCTCCATCTCCGCCCCTGCCCTTAGCACGCGCCCTGCCCTTAGCCTCTGCCTCCCCTGCGACATGTGCGCACCCACCCGCACAAGGCACTCGTCCCTTTCCCCACCACCGCCCTGTTCGCTGGGCCCTAACCATTCCTACTGCCATTGGTCTCTAGTTCAGCGGCTGGCAGCCGCTTCTCTCGCCGGCCGCCTAGGTTAGAGCCGTGTAGTCACTAGCTCCTCGCCTCTAGCGCTCATATCTGAAGTTCCTCGCCGTCTCACGCCTAGCCTAGGTCCCTCCGTGCTCCTAGCCACTAGCTCTGCTGGTCTCTTTCATCTCCACTCCTGGCGCTCCTCAATTTCTCTCCTCATTCCTATCTCCGACTCCTCCGTGCTCCCGCCGCCTCTAGCCTAGCCTCCAGCATGGAGTCCCGCCGCCTTCGTTTCGATGCGGAGGGCCGCCCGATAGAGTTCAGTACCTGGCAGCGCCAGGCCACGCGCTACCTCACCAGCCAACGTCAGGACGGCGCCACCCTGTGGGTCCACGCATCTGGTGCCCTCAAGGCGCCCCTGTCTCCCGACCCCCTCCCGACCGACCCGGAGCCGACTCCTGCGGCGCAGGTGGACTACAACTGTCGTGTCTTGGCAAGGGACGTGTGGGACTCTCGCGACGCTGCCACTGCTCTTGCGCTGACGGAGCTCCTCCCACCGACTGAGGCCGTCCACTTTGCCCATGTGGAGACTGCGCAGGGGATTTGGGATGCTGTTGTTGCGCGCTACTCCACCCCTTCCTCTGCCTCCCTCAGTCGCCTCGTCATGACGTTCGTGTTTCCCGACCTTGGCTTGTTTGCGACTGTGTCCGACCTCGTGACTCACTTGCGCTCACTTGACGCCGGTTTCCGTGCGGCCTGCACCGATGCCCAGCTTCTTGTTGCTCCCCCCACCCATGTGGCTC